GTGTCGTGCGCTGCAGTAGAAAAATGTGTCGTGCTTAGAATGTGTCGTATTCAAATTTGTCGCGTTCTGTCTGCCGACTATTCGTTGACCATTTTGTTGTGCACACATAGCGATATATAAACAACGTGGTTTAAACGTACGAAAGGTAAATTCTTGAAATATTCTTATTTTCTAGATTATTTTTCGATCATTTTTTTATCGAGAAAATGTCAATATCGATCCATGATCGAGACAGGACTACCCTGAATCGGTCTGCCGAAAATCGAACCAACTCGAGATAGGACAGATTCCAGGATCTGACCTGCTTGAGTCTTCAAAATAGAAATAATTAATTTGGAATTTAATTGAAAAGAAAACCGAAATATGCTGTTCTAAAAGAACCAATAGAAAATGTGTCGCATGTGTCGTACGGAAAGTGTCGTAGTCTTGCTGAAGAAAATGTGACGCAGTGAGCTCCTCGTGTGTCACTTTAATGTGTCGTACACTGTGTCACATATCACGATACATGCAACACATTTTAACTTAGTGTGCAGTTCTAGAGGATTAAGTAAAAGATGATGAAAAAATGGGTCCGAAGATAGATCGAATAAAAGAATATTCACGTGATTACTAACAACAGTTACATCGTGTTTCACATTCTAATCCTGCAGGGATTGCGTTAATAGCTTTTTCTACAGTTAGAAATCCAACTCAAATTCTTCTGCTTTTGCCGAACACCTACATAAAAGTAGCACTTTCAGGTTACTTCAGAAGCTTACACGGACCAACCATCACTTGTTGTGGAGCTTGCAATATTGCAGGTGGCTGTATATGTGGTTATAGTTCTTCCTTCATTCTCATCTAGAGACGAAGATGTTTCGGTGAAGACAACGAAGGACTGACCCAAAACGTCACTCCACGCATTGAGAAGAAAGCGAAGCATCAAAAGAGAATATCCATTAGATAACCAATTGACTGAATAGCAATAAGTCATCAATAGACAATAGTTGGACAAGATAGCTAGTCGCCAAGAGTAATGATAAAGGCCAAAAATATTTGAAGTGAATGGATAAGCTTAAAAGCATTTGATTGGACCTCATCTTGATCTCCAAATGAATTTCTACGTTTCTATTATCTCTTCTCTGTCCTATAAATCATTGTCTGTGAGTTCCATATTTTCATCTCAGATGAGACTGTACTATCAAGCTGTCACAGAAGATGTTGATACTTTGCAAGATCCTCAATACCCCAGATCCTATAAAACGGCGCGGAGACGGCCGTCAACGGCATATAAACGATATAAATCGTCGAAAAACGGCGCCATTTTTCGTAAACTCCTAAAACGATGAAAATAGTGTGAAAAACGATGGCCGTTTTCTAGCGAAAAACAACCCGTAAAACGAGCTGACGGATTACGGCGAAATACGGTGAAAATCAATGCTCTATTACGCCGTTTTATAGCCGTTTCCGATGTCGTTTCGGACTGCCGCAATGAAAGTGTTGGGACGTTAGAATCAAATGCAGTGATACTCTACTATCTGAAAGGAGAACATTTTCAAATCAGAATGTTTACATATCGAATAAGAGCGACATACCGCATCTGTCTACGAAAAAAACTACTTTTCCAAAACTACTGAATAAATGATTCTATTCTTTGATAGGTTCATCATCTAATGCATCAAAGACTAGTCCTTTCTATGATGCATGTCGAGAAAACAATATTAGTTTGGTTGAACATTATTTGAAAACCATGACATTGGAAGAAGTTAATCGAATGGAGCCAAATGGCTCTACAGCACTCCATGTAGCTGCATATCGGGGACATGAGAAAATTGTTGAGCTATTACTCCAGAAAGGTGCTAGTTATTCAGCAATAAATAAATTTAATAATACTCCGCTTGATGAAGCTAGAACCGATAAAATAAGGCAGCTAATACGCCGTCGCATGAATCACAAGCGTTTTGTCAGTGACTCCGTCGAATGGATTCTTCAAACAAATGATGCCGATTACCAGGCACATGAATATTTTAAAAAATTGGAATCATATGGCAAAGATCGCCACTTTTACAAATTGATTGATTATATTAAAAAAAATTATCTTGAACAAGAATTACAAGATATAGATGGTATCAATACAATAAAACAATATTTTGAAAAGGCCATCGATGAAAAAGATCCAACTTATTTACTAACAGCGTATACAGCTGAAACAGATTTCTATACCACACTAAATGTTGATCTAGCAAAACTACAGCTTCAAAATCTAACTGCAAAAGAGAATCTTAGTCGAGCATACTATATTGGAATAATTGCTTGCCATCCCAAATTCGAGACATTATCATACATTGGAAAAGTATATCGTGGTATGATGATTACTGGCAATTATGTAAAAAAATAGAAGATCGGCACACGCATTTTAACGAAAACATTTTCGTCAACCTCAAAAGAAAAGCAGGTAGCGTCAAATTTTCATAACAAAAAGGCCGAAAAAGATGATCGATTAAGTACCATATGTATATACGAAATACGTAATGAAAGGACTGCATTAGATATACAACACATATCATTATTTCAATATGAAGAGGAAGTACTAATTCGACCGTATTCAGCATTTAAAATAATCGATATTCAACAAAATGAAAACAGAAAACCACAAGTTGAAATAGAACTAAAAGAATGTGAGCCATGGTAGGCTACACTTACGCTTGATATTCCAGCTTTTTATGCATTATTTATATTCATAAACCCTTTCTTACACGGCAAACAACTCACATAACCCATTGTTTTTCAAAGAGTTTCTCCTTCAGTTTGCCCATTTTCAAATGTGTAGATGTGGCTGGGTGTGGGTGCGGCGTGTGGGTGTGGGTGTGGGTGGGTGT